TGATTAAGGTCTTAGCTGCTAACTCAAAGGTCAGTCATTGGAATCTTCCTAGTGTCACCACTGGAGAAAAAATGCTCCTGTGAAGGTTACAGCTTAGGAAACCTATGGAGTAGCTCTACTCAGTCATCTGGGTCACAATCAGTTTCATAGCCAATAAGAGGTGCCATGAGGGCACAGACTGTCTATTCTGTTCTCACCATCTAGTACCAAGCCTTCTCAGTAAGGCTTTAGAAGAGGGGTGGAGGCTGTAGACCAACGTTGTGAGCTTCCAGCCAAACGCAATGTTGTTGTCAACTTCTGTTGAGTCGGTTGTGACTCATAGCAACCCTCTATTGGGTTTCCAAGGAGCAGCTGGTAGGTTTTATGAGCTGTGGGACCACCAAACTCATGGTTAGTAGTCCAGTGCTAACCTTATCCACAGTTAGCATCACACCAGGACTTCAGCCAGATGCATAGTGTTGCTATTGTTGTTGTTAAGTGCTGTCGAGTTGGTTTAGACTCATAGTAAGCCTTAGGGATTCCAAGGAGCGGCTGGTAAGCTTGAACCACTGACCTTGCGGCTCAAAAAAATCTTGCAGTCCAGTGTATTAACCCACAGCAACACACCAGGATTTTCAGATGCATAGTAGGAGCTTAACAGTGGTCTAACCTGATAAGCTTTGTCTTCTAGACCACTGTTTATATTTAATGCAGTTGCTGATTAAATGCATATTGATGTTAGGTGCCATCAAGTTGGTACCAACTCATAATAACCCTATGCACAACAGAACTAAACACTGCCCAGTCTTGGGCCAACCTCACAATCACTACTGTGCTTGAGTCCATTGATGCTGCCACTGTGCCAATCCATCTCATTGGGGGTCCTTCCTCCTTTTTTCTCCTACCCTCTACTTTACCAAACGTGGTATCCTTCTCCAGGGACTGGCCCCTCCTGACAATGTCCAAAGCATGAAAGATGAAGTCTGGCCATCCTGGCTTCCAAGGAACACTCTGGTTGTATTTCTTCCAAATGCATAGAGTTGGATTTAACTCTACCAACTTATATTTCTGTGGCTACATAAAAGCATGATGTAAGCCAGAATTTATTTTAGACTTCAACTTTAACTTACTCCAAATACACACAGTGGATTGCCCCATAGACAGAGGTGGTATTGGTGATTTTCATGCTGTATTCTGCTGGGAGGTGGGAGTAGCTGGACCTCTTGCCAGACCTCAATTGGTGCAATTCCGCTTTAGTTGTACATATTAGTGAATCTGTGGAAATAGGGTTCTGTAACTATAGAGTTTGAAAACTACTAGACAAGATTTCCTAAGTTTCTTTGTAACTTTAATACATACCCAAATGAAGATATGGGCTACAAACTAAGGTTGATCATCCCTGAATCAGGTTCTAGGCAACACTCCAATTCTGGACAATTTTAGAGCTGAAAATAACCAAGACTCCCCTGGCCTCTGGAACTGGGAGAACAGCTGAGTCTTGAAGGAGCTAAACTGGGAAAGGGCAGAGGTAATGCACTGAGGAATCTAGGGCCAAGCATTGACACTGGAGACAACAAATCTAAGTATAAAATGGGCAACTTTCTATCCCAGGGATAATGTCAGCTGCAGTGGGTACATTCACTAACAGGAAATCACTTTATGGGTGTCATACCTTATCCAGAACAGATGCTAAAATGTTTCTTTTCCAGACTGAAGTGGGTATCACTAGACAATCTGCTCATTTTTCAGAATGTCTTAAGTTTTCCAGTGCTGTTATACAGAAATACCACAAGAGGTGGATCTAACAAACAAATTTAGTCAGTTTAGGGGGAGGCTAGAAGGCTGAATTCAGGAAGCTGGCTCTCTTTTTCTGCAGGCTCTTGGGGGAAGGTTCTTATTCCTTGTTTTCCTGGTGATCTTCAAGAGGTGTTCATCGATCATCCCCATCTTCGCTTACCTGCTGCCTCATATAACAAAGAAAATCCATTCCTACAGATATAAAAAACTTGGTGTAACTGCATGATCCCATAGGTGTCCTGGTGTTATGCTATAGGATAAGTCACTGGACTCCAAGGCTGGTTTGAACAAGGTTGGCAGTTCAAGCTCACCAGCTGCTTCTTGGAAACCTTATACAGGGTTGCTGAGTCAGACGCGACTCAATGGCACTTAACGTAGGATAAAGCAGAATTACCCCGTGATGTTACCAAAGCTGTAATCTTATTAGAAGCAGGCAGCCTTATCTTTCTCCTGAGGATTGACTGGTGGTTGGAAACAATTTTCAGGTTAGGAGCTGTGCCACCAGGATTTCACAAACATTGGTTAGGATTTACTCCACCTCTTTTCTTGGGGTACAACTCAATCTATAACATGGGGTAAATCCAAAGCTATCACGTCTGAGCTCCTTTCCTGAAGAAATCTTTTCTAAAGGGTAGAAACTAGGCAAGAATAATCCCATAATGTGACTTGTCACAAATAAGGCACAGAATAGAATCAGAGGCAGGAATGACAGGTCAAAGGAAAAACCAGGCAATGTAATCACTGGCTGGGTAATAAAAGCTTAATTCTCAAATACTGTAGTTTTTCTAAATTCTAGCTCTGCCACTCATTGTGAATTGGGGCAAGTTCATTAACCTCTAAACCCATTTTCCAGTATGGAAAATAATTCGGTGGCAGTTTCCTGCCTCCATGGTTGCTGTGAGAATGAGATGAGGCTGCTAGGTAGTGCTTGGCACAGGCCTGCTTTATACTAGCCTTTGATCGCCAGTTTGCTATCATTTTTAGTAATGGGAAGATGGGACCACAGGCCAATAAGGCTTCCAAAGCAAAATTTTAAGACTCTCAGAATCAAGTACTTCAGATGCAAGAGTGATACAAACTTAAGAGCCATCTCTGTTAAGATGATCTTTGGTTTCTTCACTTCCTAAGGTGGCCACACACAACTAGTTACAGTGTCTTTACTATTATCTCCTAGGATCTTAACAGAACCAAACCACAAAAAACCACCTCAATGCAAAAATTTCTCCTGGATCTCATGTCTAATGAACAAGGACTGCGTTTCTTGGCATGTAAGGCCATTCACAGTAACCTGATTTTCCTTCTTCCAGTTTCCATTCCCAGGCCTCTAATAAATTCCCAACTTTCCCTCTAACACACTAGGGGAGTCTTCCAAGCTCTAGCACCATCATGTGGCTCCTTTCATGGAAATCCCTACTTCTCTATTGAGCAAACTCCCATTCACCCTTCAAGGCTAAGCTAAAATGCTATAGTGAAGACTGCTCTAATTCCTGAAAACTTTATTCCTTTGGGATCCTTATACCTACCTTCAACACAGCACTCAACAGAGCATTTAATTCATTTATGCCTGGCTCTCCCAATAGACTGTATTCTCTTTTACTCCAAACCTTTTTCTTCCTAATCCATTGTTGTGCTGATGAAATAATGCATTTGAAAAGCAATTTGTAAAATCGTGATGTGATATGTAAACGTAAGTGACCACACCATTACTACATTGATCTGTTCCTCAGAAACCCTAAACAGTGTCATGAGTCCGAATCCACTTATTAACAATACTTATCTGAGGAGTCCTGGTGTGGCATTGTAGGATAAGCTCTTGACTACAAATCCTAAGGTCAGAGGTTCAGACCAACCAGCCACTCCTTAGAAACCTACACAGGTTTGTGAAGTCAGAAGTGACCAGACAGCATTTAAAAACATACTGATCTGAATGAGAAACAAGGACAGGGCAGAAAGTAGTGCTCCCTCTCTTGCCTTTTACTAGCTCAAGGTTTGAACGGATTTTTGAATTGTTGAATCCATCATATGAAATATAACCATCTTGAAATAATGACTTTTTAAAAAAGAATTGAGCATCGCCCCCTGGTAAGGACCACACATAATGAAAACCACAAGATGTGATAGTTAGAAAGAGTAGCTATAAAAGTTTTACTTTTTTTGCGGCATTATTAATACATCTAAAGTCTTATTAGATAAAACAGTTGATACCATTAGGAACAAAATGTGGCACAGAATTCAGAAAATATAGCGTATTTTTTTTGTTTTCACATTTAGGTTTTTCACTCACTATGTATTGATTATCGATTCGCCAAACAGTCAGAGACTAGAGAAAAGGAGGTATGAGAAACATCTTTTATTTCTTCTAAAGAGGTGAAAATAAGTAAGCTTTCTTATATTTCTCACTTGTAAGATTTTTAAACTCTTAAAAATGCATTTTCCTCTTTTCAAAGCACATGCCATCTTAAAAAAAAATCTTTGCAATGTACATTTGCACTCAAAGAAAAACATGCAGCGCCATTGTCTTCGGACAAAATTCTGCATAAAAAACGCAACTTTCTGCAAATATGTTCCCTCTTAATCATATAGGGACCCCAAACCACAAACATTCAGTGCAATATTTGTTTCTTATTTCCGTAGGAAACACAGGACCAATGATGTCTTCTGACTACAACTGTTTCCTGATGGTTGAGCAACAGTCTTCCTCTGATGTAACTTCTCCGCTTTAACTTGCTGATGTAAGTATAACTAGGATTCAGTATCACTTGAGGATCCAAATGGAGGATGGAGGAGAAATACTTAATAAATCTACCCTGTGCCATAAACTTAAGAAAAACATTTACACACAAAAAAAAAAACCCAAACAAAAACCTCAGATTTATTAATGCACCCTTTAAAAATGTTTGTTTTAAGTTTCTGAAAGCAGCTTAATGTGAATCAAAAGCAGTTCCTGAGTAACTGCAGTAAACAGTGTCTTTTTAAATATATATATATTTATATATATTTGCAACTTAGCTCATTTTGGTTCTGCCTTAATTTACCTCCCCCACTTTTAGTTTAACCACAGTTCCCCTCTTCCTCTCACTTCACAATGTGCAAGTACAATATGCATCAGCTCCAAAAGTCCACACGATGCGGAGACCTGCACACATCTGTCAGGCTAGGTCTCCAGATCAGGTAGTAGATTACAGTTCTCTTAGTCTCACAAAACTGTGAGTACCACGGACACTTCACGTTTTCTTTAGCATGCGCCGTGACTGCCATGTGTGGAGCTTGTTGTAGGCTGTCTGGAGCATCTCTTCTATGTGGCTCACCAACTGAAAAACATAACATGACACTTTAGCAATAACTGGCTGACGGTGGGGGAAGTTAACGGTCCTGCCCCAAATTTGGCACATATTCCAGAGTGCAGTTTCCAAGCTCCATTGTATCTCCTCAACCAAGGACCTAATGTGCAAGCCCTCTGAGAAGGCACAATGAGACACATTTGTACAGAGACTTAAGAGTAAGAGATGGTGAGTTGTTTCAGGAAGGCTGAAAATCCACTAGTTCTTTCAGGGTTGCAATGTCTATCTACACTACCATTAATCAGGTAGGTTGTAGTTACAGAGCCTTTGAGTAGGTTCCAACTCATGGAGACCCTGAATAGGGTTTCCAAGGAGTGGCTGGTGGGTTTTAGCCACCAACCTTACAGTTAGCAGTCCATTGCCTATCCTACAGCATCACACCCTAGACAGTATGAAAGTCATAATCAATGTTCTAGGCTAGCTTAGTCTCTACTCAAGTGAAGGGACTGAACTAGAATGGTGACTTCTAGATTTAAATACTAACCGGTGATACTGTAGGGTAAGCACTGAACTACTTACTAATCACAGGGTTGGTGGTTCAAACTCACCAACCATTCCTTGAAAACCCTATAAAGTTGTTACGAGTCAGAACTGACTTGACGGCACTTAAAAACAACAAAAGTCCGTCTGCTAAGGCCAGGATGGTGGCATCAACATTAGCTTACAAAACATTTGAAAATGCCTCACTCCTCTGAAGACTGAGATGCAGACTCAGGAATCTTTAATTTTCAAAAGGTCCAGCAGATGATTTTGATGCATAGTCCATTTTGTGAAGTACTTCTCTATGTTTTTCTAGAGTCTTTTCCAGCGCCAATATTTCAATGTCTCAACAGATTACAGCAAATGTAAATTGTTCCAGTGTTTCACACAAATACTATATCATATCTTAGGTCAGAACTATAAACTGTGAACGGAGAAGAATTTTGCCTTCATCATGGAAGTCAACATGATCATGCTTGATCTGAGATGTCATCTTTGTTTCCTTCAAGGTAGATGGTGTTTATACGGTGGGAAAAAAAGGTCTACAAGTGAATTCTGGGAGGTCAGAAAAGGCGATCAGGAAAAGTCCCCCACAAATAAAGCCTTTTAGGATGTCACCGTTTCAGTTCCAATCTGAGGCACAAAACCCCCAAATCCTTGATTTACCAAACCTGTTTTCACTGAGGTTATTTTAATCTAGCTCTGCCTAGAATTATCAAATTTGTTTTTCTAGTTGAGCAACTGTAGCTCTGTAATAGCACTCAGCAGCTATGGACACCATACTCCTCAAAGGCTATGCATGGCCTCAAAACCCTTTTCAACACAGTGCTCCAGACCTTTATAACCAACTAGGGAGGTTCTTGGGATGCAATGTATTTGCCATCCTTGCCCTCTTCTGGTGGTTATGATTTAAGTGTTGTCTAGTCAGTACTGACTCATAATCACCCCGTATGGGGTTTCTGAGGCTATAAATCTTTACAGGAGCAGAACGCCTTGTGTTTCTCTCACTTTTTGAATATGTTGTTGTTGTTAAGTGCCGTCGAGTCAGTTCCGACCCATAGCAACCCTGTACAGGGTTTCTGAGGCTGTAAATCTTTACGGGAGCAGAAAGCCTCATCTTTTTTCCTGTGGAGCAGCTGGTAGTTTCGAACTGCTGACCTTAAGGTTCGCAGCCCAATTCATAACCACTACGCTACCAGAGCTCCTTACTTTTTGAATATAAGTAACACTATATTACCACAGCTTTTAATTTTAGAACTCCCTTTTTGGAAATCCGAGTTATTAAAAAACTGACTACATAAAATTGTAATTTGCTTCTTATCAAGTAATCTCTGGAAGAATTTGTACAACACAAAAAATTTTACCTTGTATAGTTGTTCCAACCTTGCTTTAAAAACAATGTCAAAAGTCCTGGGCATAAAGTAACAATAAGCTACTCACTAGTTGACCCATTGACCTGGCTGTAAGGGACTGCTTCCAGTTGCTTTCAGATTGGTAAATTGACCAATCTCTGGCTCAGGGATTGGCCAGTTTACTCTAAGATAGCAGCAATACCCCACTTTCTGTACAGAGAATAGGCTTGTACTTGCTACTCTGTTTTTCAAAGTAAATGAAACAAAACGCAGATCTATAAAGAAAAGCATGGAGATAATCACCACGAGTTAGTAATTACCTCTGTAGGATGGAAGGGAGAAGTGTGCAATGGGACAGACACACTCAGGGAGTATCTTTGGGCTGCTCTATTTCTTACCTGGATTGGTGGGGACACATAGACCACTAAAAACATTATCTAAGAAATATATACCTACTTTATACATAGTTTTGAGTGTATGATACATTGATTGCACAGTTAAAAACATTTACACAAAAGCAAAATTAATATTCTCATTTTACTAAACAGAATATGAAAATCTGGACAAAAACACATTGTACCTTACTTACATTTGTGCTTAAATACTGTCTACGAATTTTTTCTTGGAATGGGCAGAGCTTTGTAACTTGAAATCGTTCCAAATTACTTTTCATCTTCACTACCTGAAAAAGATAAGAAAAATATGGATTGCAAAGAAATATGTAAGAACCCAGAATGACCAAAAAAAAAAAAGCACAACCTTCTATTCTACATGGGAAGCTTCTTTAGAACAACAACAAAACCCATTAAATGGCTTTATCAGGAGGTGAAACAAATACCTACTAAATTTAAAGGTTTCTTCTTTTCCTACCACGTAAGAGTTTATTGATCCTAGGACCATCAAGGGAGAAGAGCATGAGCGGAATGTGGGAATCGATCCAGAAATGCAGTAACACCAGAGATGGAGACAGAGATGAGGGCCTGGAGAAACAGAGCAGCTGAGGACTCTAGAATCACTGAGAGAAAGGCTGTGTGCTGGATGCCAAGAAGCAGGCTTGCAGAATGTGCCTTTTAAATGATTATGTATTCCTGAGTGTTTTATATATTTCCCCCCGCATCCCAAATACAGAAGGAATAGCAGCAAATACTGTTGAATGATGATGCACAGAGGAGACTGAAATCATTGCAACAAAACTATGAGTGTAAAACCGATTATTTTCCCATGTAAACTATCACTCAATTCATCACTTCATAATAAAAACATTAAGAAAAAAATACTTTATTGGTACCTCATCCTTCTAGGTATTTTTTGTGTATGTATAAAATGTATACATTTATAGGAAAAATGTAATAATGTTTTAAATTTTCACTTAGTACAAAGTAAATGTTGTTGTTAATTGCCAATGAATTGGTTCCAACTCACAGTGACCCTGTATAGTGTTTCTGGGGAGCATCTGGTTGAGTTTGAACCACCAGCCTTGCTTGTTGTGGTTTGGTGTTTATTCATCTAGATCATCGTTTAAAATGGATGTATAGTAATCCAATGTATTCCTACATCAAATAATTCTGAACCAATCTGCTTCTGGTAGGTATTTAGATCATTTCCATGTTTTCTATCAAAGACAGTGAGTGACAGAGGAATATATCTGTGGCTAAATATTTACATACATTCTTAATTATTTCTGTAGGATCAATTTCTAAATTTCTGGATCAAAGCACCTGAAATAAAGTAGTATAAGAATTCTTAGCAACTCAGCAAACACTGATCATTTACAGTCTGTCATTATTTTGCAAATAGGTGAAAAATGCTTTATTACACTGTTGTTTAAGTGCCATCAAGTCAGTTCTGACTCACAGCAACCCTGTATAGGGTTTCCAAGGAGCAGCTGGTGGGTTTGAACTGCTGACCTTGCAGTTAGTAGTCCAGTAGCTTTAAAAATAGTTTATTGGAATATTTGTGAGCCTAAACATTTCCTCGTAGGCTTATTAAGGCCACTTGCATTCTTTAGCAAAGTAGCCTTTTTTTTTGCACGTGATAGTCTGTTTAAGACATCTTTTATTATATACAACTGCAAGATGGGTCTCTGCTCATTAGTTTTAATGCATTTTTCCATGATGCAATTGAAAATAGTCTTGTGAAGTGTTCATTCTGAACATGTCCAAAAGTAACTCTTGAGTGAACCATATTCGATGTTCATGAAAAGGGATCTCTACAGGTGAGTTTGCATTAGTGCATATCAAAGTTAAAAAGAACAATCTCTATTTGGCAACAAATTCATCATCACAAACACCTTTACTTGCTGCACACATAGCTTTTAAGGAATCGAAAAGGATTTGAGCCTATGTCCTAGAAACAATACAATTTAAATACTTCTAACGTAGTGTAGTGGTTATAAATTGGGCTGCTAACCTCACGGTCAGCAGTTCAAAACCGCCAGTGGTTCTGTGGGAGAAAGACGAGGGGCTTTCTGCTCCTGCAAAGATTTACATCCCAGAAACCCTATGCAGGGTCACTAGGAGTTGGAACCAACTCCATGACACACCACTACCACCACCAAAGATAAAACGTATTATTGGAATTGACCCAATGGCAATGGATTCAGTTTGAATTACATTTTATATTATTGATTCATATTACTCTGTTTCAATAAATTTGACTTAAAGATGTTGTTGTTAGGTGCCATCGAGTCGGTACCGACCCATAGCAACCTTATGCACATCAGAATGAAACACTGCCCGATCCTAGGCCAACCTCACTACTGTTGCCACACTTGAGTCCATTGATGCTGCCACTTGGCCAATCCATCTCGCTGGTGGTCTTCCTCTTTTTCTCTGACCCTCCACCTTACCAAACATGATATCCTTTCTCCAGCAACTGGTCCTACCTGACAATATGCCTGAAGCATGAGAGATGAAGTCTGGCCATCTTGGCCTCCAAGGAGCACTCTGGCTGCACTTCTTCCAAAACGGATCTATTGGTTCTTTTGGCAGCCCATGATGGGATATATTCAAAGTCATATTTTGGCTCTCGTGGACTTGTTTTCATTTTCTTCAGCTTTAGTTTGAATTTGTACATGAGAAATTGAAGGTCTGCTCCATAGTCTGCCCCTGGCCTTGTTTTCACTGATGATATGGAGCTTTTCCATCTTCTCTTTCCGCAGATGTAGTCAATTTGATTTCTATGCATTCCATCTGGTGAGGTCCATGTGTATAGTCGTCCCTTATGCTGTCTAAAGAAGGTATTTGAAATGAACAAATCATTGGTTTTGCAGAATTCTATCATGCGTTCTCCAGCATCATTTCTATCACCAAGGCCATATTTTCCAACTACTGATCCTTCCTCTTTGCTCCCAATCTTTGCATTCTAATCACCACTAACGAGCTATACATCTTGATTGCATGTTTGATCGATTTCAGATTGAAGAAGTTGGTAGAATTCTTCTATTTCATCCTCACTGGCTTTAGTGATTGGTGCATAATTGTGAATAATAGTGGTATTAATTGAGCTTCCCTGTAGGTGTATGGATATTATCCTATCACAGACAGTGTTGTACCTCAAGACTGATCTGGATATATTCTTTTTGACAATGAACCAACACCCTTCCTCTTCAATATGTCATTCCCAGCATAGTAAACCATGTGGTCATCAGATTAAAAATGGCCAATACCAGTCTATTTCAGCTCACTAATGCCTAAGATATTGATGTTTATGTGTTCCATTTCATTTTTGACAACCTCCAATTTTCCAAGATTCATACTTCGTACATTCCATGTTCCGATTTTCAATGGATGTTTACAGCTGTTTCTCTTCATTTTGAGTTGTGCCCCATCAGCAAATCAAGGTCCATTTGCGTCATCACGGTCAACTCTACTTTGAGGAGGCAGCTCTTCCCCAGTCGCATTTTGAGTGCCTTCTAACCTGAGGGGCTCATTTTTGGCACTATATCTGACAGTGTTTCTCTGCTATTCATAAGGTTTTCAGGGACTAAATATTTGGAAGTAGTTCCTCACTCCTTCTTCCGAGTTTGTCTTCGTCTGGAAGCTCACCTGAAACTGATCCAACATGGGTGACCCTGCTGGTATTTAAAATACCAGTGGCATAGCTTTCAGAATCACAGCAACTCACAAGCCACCACAGTACGACAAACTGACAGACAAGTGGTGGAACTTAAAAGATACTTAACTACAAATTTGACTTAAAGATCCTTTTTTTTCCTAAGTTAAAAGCATATTCATTTTCACTTTTTTTTTTTTAAAGATTTTATTGTGAGTTGAGCGATAGTTTACATAGAACATCAATTTTACACTCACCCTATTGTGTTATATTTCATTGCAATGATTATAATCCTCTCTATGCGTCATTATTCAACAGTGCCTGCCTCTATTCACTCTGGGTGTTTTTTTTTTTTAATGTACACCAAAACACTCAGGAATATACAATCATCCAAACAACCAAAGGGCACACTTTGCAAGCCTGTCCCCATGGCCGCTAGCACACAGTCTTTCTCTTTCCCTGAGTCTAGAGTACTCAGCTGCTATATCTCTCCGTGTCCTAATCTCTGCCTCCATCTCCAGCACTACTACGACTCTAGATAGGGTCCCACATTATGCTTTTGCTCTTCTCCCTTGATGGTCCTAGGGAAAGGGATCATTTTTATATCCGTTGTTTTTAATAGGTGTTTATCTTTTTCTTAAAGACCATTTATAACCTATATAGAAAAACTAAGAAGCTCTGGTAGCATAGTGGTTATGAATCAGGCTGCTAACCTAAGGTAGGCAGTTCAAAACTACCAGCTGTTCCATGGGAGAAAGATGAGGTTTTCTGGTCCTGTAAAGATCTGCAGCCTCAGAAACCCTGTGCAGGGTTGCTATGAGTCAGAACCGACTCCATGGTACTTAACAACAACAACATAAGTTATAAATATTTTCTATTTGTCAACTGGTATTTCACTGGTTTAATAAGGGTTTTAGTATTACATAGTCCTTCAAAAATGAACCAAATAAGTAGCCATCAGACACACTTTACTTTCATTTGTTCTCCAATCACTACTAGAGACTTAAGTGTAGATTCAACTTTCAAACTGTACGACCACAATTTATTAAATGGGTCTAGACTATGAGTTTCATCATTTGTAAATGGGTACAAGCAACACCTTCTTCAATCATAAGCAAACTGTGAATTTTAAGTGAAATAACTTAGGCAAAATAGTTATTCCTGTGCCTGGCACATGGTTTGCTGTTGTTAGGTGCCATGGAGTCGGTTTCAACCCATAGTGACTCTAAGCACAGTAGAATAAAATACTGTGTCATCCTCACAGTCGTTCTGAGCCCACTGCAGTTGTCACTGTCAATCCATCTCCTTTTGGTGGTGGTGGGTCCTTCCTCTTTTTTCTTGAGCCCCCACTTCACCAAGTAGGATATCATTGTCCAGGGACTGGTCCCTCCTAATACTATGTTCAAAGTATGAGAGATGAAGTCTCACCACACTAGCATCTAAGGAGCATTCTGGCTGCACTTCTTCTAACACAGATTTGTTTGTTCTTCTAGCCGTCCAGGGTACTTTTAATATTCTTCTCCAACACTGTAATTCAAATGCAATGATTCTTCTATGGTCTTGCCTTATTCATTGTCCAACTTTCGTATGCATATGAGGCAACTGAAAATACCAGGGCTTGGGTAAGGAGCACCTTAGTCCTCAAACTGTTATGTTTGCTTTTGAACACGTTATAGAAGTCTTTTATAGGAGACTTACCCTAATGTAATATGCCATTTTTCTTGACTGCTATTTCCATGAGTGCTGATTGTAGATCCAAGCAAAATTGGTCCACTTGTAAAGTTCTTTGTTTTCCTTACATTGAAGTGCAATCCATACTGAAGGCTATATGTAGTCTTTGATCATCAGTATTTTAAATCCTGTTCCTTTCCAGTATCATCTTCATATTGTAGGTTGTTAAAAGCTCTTCCTCCAATCATGATGCCACACTCTTCCTTCATATAATCCAGCTTCTAAAATTACTCAGCACACAGACTGAAAAAGTATGATCAAAGTATACAACCTTGGCACACAGCTTTCCTGATTTTAAACCATTCAGTATCCCCATGTTATTCGCAATGCTATTTATAGTTTGTCATGGTCCACATAGACAAAAGCCTTGCAGTCAAACAAAGCACAAGAAAACATATTTCTGATATTCTCTGTTTTCAGCCAAGATCTATCTGATGGCAGCAATATCCCTCGTTTCATGTCTTTGTCTGAATCTGGCTTGAACTTCTGGCAGTTCTCTGCCAATCTACTGCAACGACTGTTTCTGAATTATCTTCAGTAAAATTTTACTTGCATGTGATATTAATGACATTGCTCCATGATTTCTGCAGTCCCTTGGGTCACCCTTCTTTGGAACAGGTACAAGTATGGATCATTCCCAATAAATTGGCTAGCTAGCTAGCTAACTATCACCCACATTTCTTGGCATATTTGAGTGAGTACTTCCAGTGCTGCATCAGTATGCTGAGAGATTTCACTTTGTATTACACCAATGCCTTCACAGTGCTGCTTGGGCTTCTCCTTACAGTACTACTGGTTCTTGATTATATGCTACCAACTCTTCTGATCTTCTGACATTTGTGTCTAATGCATCTGTTTCTGAGATGGTCTCTAAATTCAGGTGGAATATATTCAAGGTTGTATCTTGGATCTCGTGGACTGGTTTTAATTTTCTTCAGCTTCAGCTTGTACTTGCATATGAGCAATTGATGGTCTGTTCTACAGTCTGTCCCTGGCCTTGGTTTGGCTGATGATATGGAGCATTTCTATTGATTCATCCCACAGATACAGTCACTTTGAGTCTTGTGTATTTTATCTTGTGAGGTCCATGTGTTTAGTCTCACCTTTCATGTTGTTTAATTCTATCAAGTGATGTCCAGCATCATTTCCATCACCAAAGCCATATTTTCTAACTACTGCCCTTTCCTCTGTTTCTAACCTTTGCATTCCAATCACAGTAATTATTAATGCATCTTGGTTTTTTGATCAATTTCAGACTAAAGAAGTTGGTGTATAAATTTGAACAGTGATATTAGCTGATCTTCCTTGCAGACATATGGATATTATCTCAGGCAGACAGATCTTGAATTCTTTTTGATAATGAATGTGATGTCATTTCTCAATGTGTTGTTCCACAGGAAGCCGTATGATTGTCAGATTCAGCAAATACCAGTATATTTCAGTTCACTAACAAACATGTTAAAGACTCATTACAAACTTCAAAATAACAGTGCACTAATCTACACCTGGTGTGGTGCCATGGGTTAATGTGCTAGACTGCCAAGCTGTTTGATCTGCAAGGTTGGCAGTTCAAACTCACCAGCTGCCTCTTGGAAACCTTATACAGGGTCACTATGGGTCAACAACAACAATCTACACTAGTGTGGTACTGCAGGTTAATGTGCTGGACTTGCAAGTTGGTTTGAACCACGAGGTCAGCAGGTCAAGCTCCCCAGCCGCTCACAGAAACCCTATACAGGGTTCTTAACAGTCAGAACTGACTCGACGGCACTTAACAACTACAACAATCTACACTAGGACTCCTGTGTAGATCAGGAATAGGATCAGTACTGGACTGCAAAAGGTTGAAATCACAAGGTCGGCAGTTCAAACCCACCAAATGCTCCCAGGAAACCCTGTAAAGGGTGGCTATGAATCGGAACTGACACAGTGGCACTTTAAAAAGATTCTGCACTAAAGGCGCCTCAATGATACAATGGCCGAAGTTCTCAGCTGATAACTAAAAGGTCAGCAGTTTGATTCCTCCACCAACTCCATAGGAGAAAGAATTTGGTGACCAATAGCCATTTCATTGCATACACGTAGCTGTTTGGAACTGTTTCTGACCTTTTCTTCCAGGAATGGTGTATTAACAGGAAAGCAGGACCAGAAGTGCCGTAGAAGTTCGCCAACAGCCACATATAGATGTTTCAATTCAGACTGAATATCATTTGGCACCATCTCTGTAAACGAAGATGATAAAACCAAGTTTCACATGTGAACAGTTCTGAAAACTATCAAGAGACTAAACTAGAAAATGCACCCTTTACCAGTGCCAAAACAAAATACGCTTGTCTTTTCTGACCTCAAATAAAGATATGCTATTTTGAGAGAAGCTACTGATTATTCTGTGGCTAAGATATTACAGAACTGGAAATCCCTTGGACTTTTGAGGAATTTTATCATTATTGTACCTTTATCTTTGCTACAAGACAGGGGAGATACTAAATTACTACGATACACTATATTAGCGATGTGCCATTGTTCCTAACATTAAAACAATTCCAAAACTATGCTTTTATCCAGATGTATTTCATTACTATTTATATAAAAACAAAACAAAACAAAACAACAAAACAAAAACGTAAGCACCCCTCCCAACTTGCTTTTCAGAGCTCAGCCAGTGGGAAAGGCCCAGCACGTACGGTTGATGGCTTGCTGTGTCCCTCCCTGCATAAGTGCTCCTCCAGGTGACAGGGCCGTGATCGTACTACTAGCAGCACTACTTGAGAGAACCTAAAAGAAATTAAGATGTAGAAGCTACTTCAGAATCTTAGTCAGCATTTCAGTTGTGTAGCAAAATGTCAAATCACTGTACAAATCCATCATTTACACCAAGCAGAGTGAACTACTTTCCATGAGGCAACACAAAATCTGTGTAGAAATAAAATACCTACACACCTTCCAATCCTAGGCCAATCTTGTGCTGTCAAGTTCATTCTGTTTCATAGCGACTCTGAAGGACAGTATCCCAAACACTACAGTGTCCAAGGCTGTAAATTTTACAGAAGCAGATTGCCACATCTTTCTCCCATGAAGGGACTGGTGGGTTTGAACTGCTGATCTGTTGGCTGGCAGCAGAGTCCTTAATCACCGAGTCATCAAGGATCCTTGGCAAATACATGGTTGTGAAGTGCTGTCAAGTTGGTTCTGACTCATTGCTGCTGCTGTTAGGTGCCATCAAGTTGGTACCGACCCATAGTGACCTTACGCACAGCAGAACGAAACACTGCCCGATCCTGGGCCAACCTCACTACTGTTGCCACACTTGAGTCCATTGATGTTGCCACTTGGCTAACCCATCTCCTTGGGGGTCTTCCTCTTTTTCTCTGACCCTCCACCTTACCAAACATGATATCCTTCTCCAGCAACTGGTCCCACCTGACAATATGTCCAAAGCATGAGAGATGAAGTTTGGCCATCTTGGCCTCCAAGGAACACTCTGGCTGCATTTCTTCCATAACAGATCTATTGGTTCTTTTGGCAGCCCATTGCTCTTTCAATACTCTCCTCCAATACCACATAACTCAAAAGCATCAACTCTTGCACGGTCTTCTCTATTCACTGTCCAGCCTTTGCATGCATATGAGGTTATTGAAAATACCATGGCTTGGGTCAGGCACACTTTAGTCCTCGGGCTGACTAAAGACCTGTTGCTCTTCAACACCTTAAAAAGGTCTTGTGCAGCAGATTTGCTTAATGCGATATGTCGATTGATTTCTTGACTGCTGCTTCCATGAGCGCTGATAGTTGATACAAGAAGAATGATGTCCTTGACAACTTCAATCTTTTCTAGGTTGATAAGAATGTTGTTTACTGGTCCAGTGGTCAGGATTTTTGTTTTCCTTACAATGAGATGTAATCCATACTGAAGGCTGTGCTCTTTGATCTTCATCAGTAAATGTTTTAAGTCCTCTTCACTTTCAGCAAGCAAGGTTGTATCATCTGCATATCGCAGGTTGTTAATGAGTCTTCCTTCAATCCTGATGCCATGTTTTTCTTCATAGACCCCAGCTTCTTGGATTGTTTGCTCAGCATACAGGATGAATAAGTATGGTGAAAGAACACAACCTGTCGCACACCTTTCTTAATTTTAAACCATTCAGTGATCCCATGTTCTGTTAGAACAACTGCCTCTTGGTCCAGGTACAGATTCCTCATGAGTCAATTAATTGTTCCGGAATACTCAAATCGAGCTGCGAACCGCAAGGTCAGCAGTTTGAAACTACCAGCTGTTCTGCGGGAGAAAGATGAGGCTTTCTGCTCCCATAAAGATTTACAGCCTCGGAAACCCTGTACAGGGTTGCTATGAGTCAGAACCGACTCCACAGCACATAACAACAACAACTCATACTTCACAATGTTGTCCATAGCTTGTCATGATCCACACAATCGAAAGCCTTTGTATCGTCAATAAAGCACAGGTAGACATCTTTCTGATATTCTCTGCTTTCAGCCAAGATCCACTGGACATCAGCAACGATATCCCTCATGCCATGGCCTCTTCTGAATCCAGCTTGAACCTCTGGAAGTTCTCTGTCAACATATGATTGTAGCTGTTTCTGTATTACCTTTAGTAAAACTTTACTCACATGGGATATCAAAGAGATTGTCTGTATTCCATTGGGTCACCTCTCTTTGGAATGGGCACAAATATGGATCTTTTCCAATCTGACTCATAGTGACCCTGTATATAGGGTTTTCAAGGAGTTGCTCGAGGTTTGAACTGTCAGCCTTGTGGCTAGAAGTCAAGTGCTTATCCCTACAGTGCCATACCAGGACTCCAACATACAAAAATATTTTCTAGCTGTGTGTGCTGAAGAAAGGGGCGTTGGTGAAATCAGAGGTTAAAGTTCTTGACTACTAACTGAAAGAAAGGTCAGCAGTATGAATCCACTAGATATTCTTTGGTAGAAAGATGTGGCAGTCTGTGTCTGTAAAGACTTATAGTAGTGGAAACCTTATAGTGCAGTTCTATTCTCTCCTATAGGGTCATTATGAGTTGAAACTGACTTGACAGTAGTGAGTTTTTGGTATGGTCTGCTAAGGGGTAGCAACAAGCACACATAGTGCTCAGATCTTGGTTTCTAAACCCACTTATACTAACGCTTCGTAGAAAAGTGTCTGATCTGTGAGCAGAGAAGGGAAAGTGTAAGATTTGCTTGAAACAGCTTATTGTGTGAGAAAATTTGGAGGTGCTTAAAGAATGAAAAGGATGTCAAAAAGACATAGGAGCTAGTGTGAAGGGGCTCCCACTGGCCAAATATAGAACTACTAAGAGCATTAAAACAAGCAGTGAAAAGAAAAAATCACAGATTTGGTGATTACACATTGTATATGTGGTTATCCAAACTTGTAGAACATTAGACTAAAAACTGGCAAATGTTCCTATTCTTTTATAAATTATACCTTCATTAAAAAAAAAAAAATTATAACCCAGGTGCCACTGCAAGATAATGCCCTGGATTACGAGTCAGTCTGAACTGCAAGGTCGGCAGTTCAAACCCATCAGCCGCTCCTTGGAAATCCTATACTGGGTCGCTATGAGTTGGAACCGACTCAAAGGAACTTACTAAGAATTAATGTAAGAATCCATACTGCTATAAATAATTGGAAGAGAGTTGTTTCTTTTAGTAGATTAAATGTAGATGAAAGAATTTTAAAAACCACCATTTAATAACTGTTTCAGACAAGAATCACTGGATGCTAAAAAACTACTGGATGAAAGTTTAATTAGTAGAAAATTTACATAGTCTGACAGCATGTAACCATAAGATACTAATTACAGGGTGAAAAATTTTCAGTGGTGAAACCAGGCAGATAGCAAGCACTTTAACCAAGTGATCCAAGTTAATACAACAGGACAAATAGGTATCAAGTGTCCCTTGATTTAATGCACCAAGGATGACAATCACTTCTGTAGTATTCTTTCCCCTTAAAAAAAATGTATAACCTCAATCTAATAATGAACAAACACTTGAGAAAAACAACACAAGTGCATTTTAAAGTCTTCCAAATATCAAGACTATGAAAGACAAAAGACTGAAAATGGTGTCATCTGAAAGTAGACACAGTAACTGACTGAGCTTTTGATTTTGGCTTAGCTGCTGGCCCACGAAGAAAAGTTTCATTTTGTTAGAAAGGTGACATGTGGATAAGATCTGTAGGTCTATAAGGTTACTTCAAAATAAAAATGTAAGTAAGTTTCAGTATGTGATAAGCACCTCATTACAGTTATGTTTCAGTGCTTATGAAAATAACAAAGGAAAAAACTAAGCCCTTCCTGAGGATGCCAAAGATAGCTGAACAGAGGCAATTATGTTTGAGCTGAGTAATTCGTTATGAGTAGCTCCCCATGGGGCTAAGGGCATTCTAGCAAAGAGGAAGCATAAGTAAAAGCAGAGGATGCATGAAGAATATGATGTGCTTTAAAAAACTGGGTAGTTCATGTAATAGCTAGAGGGGTAAGAGTGATGGTTGTGCGTGGAATGGAGAATAAGGACGAAGGGAGAACAAAATGGGCTATGGTCAGATTTTCAGAAGGTCTTGCGTACTACACTAATGTGTCTGGACTTTTAACTGTCAAAAGATAATTTGCTATGGCAGGGTAGAAAATGGATCACGCTCATCTAAACCAAGGGGATGGAATCAAGTAGTACTGAAGAAAGAATGGAAGGAACTTGCTGACCAACCGATGTATAAAAAATTCTAGGGACAAATAAAGACGAGGCTTGCAGAATATCCTGATGTCCAGTAGGAACTCAAAAATAAGGGAGATTTTACCAGTGCATCTGGAAGGAAAAAAATTAGCAACTATAAAATGCATTACTTATTTTTCATTGTTATCTTGCTTTCACATTCTTCTTAAGTATGCTCAAATACCTTGTTTTCCTACATCTTTTATGTTTTTAAAACTTAGAATAAAATACATGTTTACACCAAATTAAGGTATCACTTATATAATTCAATCTGGTTGTACTCATAAACTAAAGAAGGAACTACTGGAATTCTGGTTTTCAAACAGGACACTTTACCCACCTGAGTTAATTTGGGTGTATAAGCTTCCATTTCTTGTCTAATACTTTGAAAAGAATTAATAATGTCCTGACTTGTTGCATACTGTAGTGACTGGACTGGAGTTGGACCATGATAATACCTGAAGGTCAGCACAGAGAAGACATGAGTAATTACACTGAGTAAAGGTGCTCAACATGTGTCTTTAAATCATTTTAGTGGTCATGACAATGTTCCCCCAAAGCAAAAAACAATACTGTAGAGTTAGAGAAGTTTTGGTAACATAATATAATTCCTAAAGAAGCAGTAAGAAGCTAATATAGCACAAAGATCCAAAATTTATCTTCCTGGCTTTTGATCATTTTGGATGCTTGACTGAGATGTATACAACAAAATTTTTAGGAAAAAAGTTATTTTATGGCAACAAATTGGTTAAAACACAAACACTGTACTTGTAGAGTATATTCTGCACAGAACTGACACATAACTATTCTGCCTCAAGTTAATCCAAACTTACCTATCTGATTTCTTGAGGTTTAGTGCTATTGTTTTTATGGAATTATTTTTTCCCAAGTCTTCATATTCAATGGACTCCTGTAATTTTGCCTGTAATTATTAACATAATACTTTTGTCAGTAACTATCCTTAAATAATTAACCATCACTGAAAACAAAAAGAATACAAAACTGTATCGATGGGCATAAAGTCTTCCCACATGTGCTTAACTTTCTAGAGATGACAGCTGCACGTATCAGGAACCAGTATATACTCTCCTGCACCACTCAGGAAGAGGGCCCCTCACCCACACCATGCATCACTGAACTTACTAATGCCAATCCAGCAGGTGACAATTTGGATCTGACTGCTTTCCCCCAATGAAGCTTTCTTCCAGATAGATTTTTTTTTTAAATGTAAGAATTATAAAAACACAGTAGTTATAAAAGACACAGATCAATCTGAAAACTTAGTTTACTAAGTTGCTCGAAGTTTACTAAGTTGCTCGAATTTTAAGAGTCTGAACGGTTCCTTTATTGTATAGGAACACATCTAACTGGCTCACCAGGATACTCAAAAGTATCACACCCATCAGTCCCACTTTACCTAGACTCAGTCTTACATATATTTTTTTCTTAGCATACTGACAACTTCATTACCTTCCCCATGTGTCACTTTAACTTTTGTCCTGTTTACCCTGCCTTAGGTAAATAATCCAAACTGTAAAGTTCATCTAAGACCAAGTTAGGCAATCTAAAAAGCTCCATAAATGCAGGGTCCCTGTCACTATGACTTCTGAACCTGATTCTGTAAAATCTGTTGTAGGACATAATAAAAGTCAATTACTGACTTGGAAGGAGATCTAAGGCTAGAAATTACTCTCTAGTAGTATGAATATTTACAGAGAGAAACGAAGACTTTTGATAACGCCTTTACAACTTACAATGTAACAGTACTGAAAAGAAAGCATCACTTCATAGAATTCTTCTTTTTAAAAGATTTCTTGTGTAACATCTCTCTATAACTTAAATTTTAGTTTTACTTTTCTGGGCTCAAAATAGTCATTTTACTGGTTTTGTTAATTTTAAACATATACTTATAAAGATGTTACTGAAATATATAAAATGCAAACCGTTACAACCCACCCTCATCAACCTCTAACCAAAAGATAACCATTTAGCATATTCTTTTAAAGGCCTCTTAAAATGTAAATGGGATACTACTGGATTAAAGGGCATAAACATTTCAAATGTTGATAGATATTGCCAAATTGCCTCCTAAGCAGTATGGGAGACAGGTAAAAAACCTGAAATAAGAACTATGCAAGGAGCTAACCCTGCATATATTCCGTGCCTCCAAATAATTTTATCAGTATTTCCAGCTCTGAAACAGGCTTAAAACAAGAGATAAATCACTTTTTAAAAAATCATATACATGAAAATTAATTTTCTCTTTCTTCTCCCCCCAAAAATACAACTAGGTGTCAGTTTGTGTGTGTATGAACACACACAAAGGGGAAATTCATGAAAAGTTGGATGGCAAGCCAAATTGATTAAGAATTCTTTATAATAATCCACCTTAATCCAAATACTTAAAAAATTTAGATCACCCAGTAACTGCAAGTGCTTGAAAGGACTGGAAGTGATTTAAGATGTTTGGAGAAACCTGAGTCCTAAGTGGTCCAGACTTTTAGCCCATACCCTTTTGACTGCTGGCTGAAAGCAATCTGCATCTCTGGAATTTCCATCCATGCTGCTGGGCTCACAGTTTTGTTCATTTTGTGCTTCTCTTAAACAAAAGGGAAAAAAATTAATGTTAAAAAAAATCATAAGCGAGACCTACATTATGGAAGCAGTAGCCCAAAAGAGGGAATAAATCTTCACAGCGACGATCATTCCCACCCCCACCACACACAGAGAGGACAGGGATGGGCAACTTGGACACTGGCTACCCAGAATGGGGGGCTACAGAGGCAAGCAGCTTTCAAGAGGGAACCTAGATCCAGAGGGCATGGAGCAAGGTAGAATCTCCTCTGAGTAGTATCCAATCTGTCTAAGCAGGACGGAGGAAAGGAGATGCGGATAGGTCTCCTGTGATACAATGGTGAATAACTGTTATCAGGACTGATGGTAAGGGCTGGAAATGTAAAGGTAGACATTTTGTAGCAAAGGGAGGGGAGGGATTAACTTTGCAGTTTAGGCACGGAGGTCTCTGGGACCATCAAGGAAGAAGAGCGGAGATTGGAACGCCACCCAGAGAAGCAGTGATGGCCAGAGATGGAGGCAGAGGCAATGACGTGGCGAGATGGAGCAGCTGGGGACTTTGGACCCGAAGAGGGAGAGGGGCTGGGTGCTGACGACTAGGGGCAGGCTTGCAGGGTATACCGTGTGGTTGGTGGGTGATACATGGAGGGGATTGTAACCACGGCAAGGAAATGATATACGATAGGATCAATGTGAAGCTAATGCTCTCCCATGTAAACTATCACATAAATTACAATAAAGCATTAAAAAAAAACAAAAACAAGCAAAACAACACAATCGTATTTCAGGTCTTCTGAAATGCCCAGCGACTGCACCTCTCTCTGTATGTATACTTAACTGTTTCCTGAGACCTGCTGCCAGGACCATGGCACTGTGATGGTTAAATCTCTTGATGATGGCAGCATTACTGTTCTCTTTTATGGATTTAGAATTGGAAGTTGATGGCACAGAGGAAATGCCATAGCCCTAAGAAAAACCATTTAGCAGATTAAAAAGTAAAATAAGGAGCTGCTTTTCTTGTCTACTATAATAGACATGCTTAGTGGAAAAGATTTCCTGGATGAAGGGACATTAATAATTTTCATACGCATTACTAAACACAGGGTAACATTTAAAAATAAGTGGCATTTTACATATAAAAATTAAACATCATTCAATTCTTTCAGCATCAGAAGAAAAAAAAAATCTTAACTCTGCATACATTTTTTTCCCTAAAAGCAATTAGTGATCTGGAGTCCTGGTATGGCACTGTGGTAGTTCAAGCTCAGCAGATGCTCCTCAGAAACCTATCCATCCAGGTTCGCTATGGGTTGGAACTGACTTAATGTCACTTCACAACAACAAATTAGTGATCTAGTTATTAAAAAGATTAAAGGAACACGACACATAACAGTAAAATCAAACCAAACCAAGCCATACCACACCAAACAGACCTTGGAATCAGAAACATTTTATCACTTTTTAAAATAGAAGCTTATTAACTGACTCATGGTGGCCCCATGTGATACAGAGCAGAACTGCTTCGTCGGGCTTCTGGGTTGTAATCGGAACAGTAGATCACCATGCCTATCTCCTGCAATACTATTGGGTGGGATTGAACTGTCAACCTTTAGGGTAGCAGTTGTGCACAAACCATTTGTGCCACCTGGTGGTGGTGTGCTGCGGAGTCAGTTCCAACTCACAGTGACCCTGCACACTGTTTCCAAGGCTGTAAATCTCTATAGTAGCAGAAAGCCTCATCTTTCTCCTGTGGAATGGCTGGTAGTTTTGAACCGCTGACCTTGAGGTTAGCAGCCTGACTTATAACCACTACCAGTTCCTTAATATAAGTCTAGTTTGCAGGCAAGGTCTGCAAGATGTGAATTAAATGAGACATTTTTCAAACAAGTATTTAGTGTATGAGTTTGGAGCTTTACATACACGGTTGGTTAACACCCTATACCTTAACCACTGCCATCAAGTATAGCCCAACTCATAGAGATCCTAACAGGCAGAGAACTGCTCCAGGGGTTTGCAAGGCTGTCACTATTTATGGAAGTAGACTGAGCCAATCTTTTCTCTCAAGTAGTAGCTATTAAGTTTGAACTCCTGACATTTTACTTAGCAGTCCAATGTTTAACCCACAGCACCACCAGGATGTTTTACCCTACTCCTAAATATTAACTGATAGGAAGTGGAGCTATAAACCAGTAGATGCAGCTATGTGATATATAGGTGTTCCAAAGGAGGAAGAGGTAGATTCTAATTGAGAGGTGGGTCAAGTAAAGCTTCAAGTAGTGCCATAAGAGGTCAGTCAGATCTGAGAGATATTAGGGAGCTTTAAGAAATTTGTGGAAAAATTCAATTACCTTTTAATTCCACTTTTCCATGAATTTTTTTAAGCCCTCTCATATTTCAGGGAGTGAAATCCGTTTAAACAAAGGTATGGTAGCAAGATAGTGTGAATTATAAGATGGGTTTGTACATACTTCAGTACAGCTAGAATGAAAGGTGGGCCAGGGATTAGTGAGACAGTAGGTAGTAGTAGGAAAAAGAGATCATAAAAAGACACAAGGCATTCATCAAGTATTGGTTGCCTAATATGGCACTGTAGGATAAGCACTGGACTATTAATCTTAAGATCAGCTGTTCAAACCTACCAGTTGCGCCTGGAAAACCTACACAGGGTCACTATGAGTTGGAACTGACCAGATTGCCCTTAACAACATACGACATGTGACGGAGATACATTAGTAAGCAAGAACAAAGTCGGCCTCACATAGTTTACACTACATTTAGGGAATAATGACAATCATCAAGCTAAAAAAAGGTCTTATTTGAAAGCAACAAATGCTATAAAGGAAACAAAGAAGGTGACATGATGGGGTGAAAGAACTAGAGGGGAGCTATGCAAAGTCTCACAGCAGATGTCTGAAAGGGTGTCGTAGCTAGTTAGGGGAAAAGCAGTTAGAAGATACAGTATATGCAAGGGCTCTAAGGAAGATAAAGCTTGGCATGGAAGTGAACAAAGGTCATTATTTATGGTCTGGTGCATGAGGGAGTGAAAGTTGACCAACTTCAGAGCAGCAGACAGGAGCCAGATCAAGCAGAGTGTTTTAAGAATTTGGATTGTATTGCAAGTTCAATTAGAAACTATCGAAGAGCTATGCATATGAGAGTATTATTGTCTGATTAATATAACTTACTGCTAGGGGAGAAAGTGTTACATGGATGGAACTAGAGTGGAAGCAGGAAGATCAGTTTGGAGGCTTAATGCAAGCAATCAAGTCAAAGGTGGAAATTTAAAAAGTGAATGGGTGTCTGTAGAACTCAAGAGATATGCACAGATCAGAAATGTTGATAAACTGGATGTTAGAGATGAAAGAAGAGGAGAACCATGGAGACTCCTAGATTTTTTGGCTGTAACAACTGATCCATGGTAATGCTTTTTACTCAGACAGCAAATACTTAGTGAGAAATAGATTTATGAGGATGGGAACTGAAAGTTCCATTTTGGACATGTTAAAATGAGATGTCTGAGAAAACAAAAGTGGAATTCTCAATCAGACAGCTGCATATAGAACTCTGGAGCTCTGGGGTTAAGATTAAAAAATACAAAATCTCCCCCAAACCATTGCTGTTGTGTCAATTCCAACTCATAGTGACGCTACAGGACAAAGGAGAACTGCCTCACAGGGTTTCTAAGGCTGTGAATCTTTACAGAAACAGACTGTCACATCTTTGTCCCAAGAGTGGATGGTGGATTTGAACTACTGACCTTTCACCATTAGCAGCTGAGTGCTTAACCACAGCACCACCAAGGTTCCTTCTGGGGTTAAGATAAACCAGGGTTATTTAGGAGTATTGGTACGTAATATTTAAAGCAATGGAATGGACAGAATGCATTAAAATAGAGGACCAGGACCATATTCTGGGACAGGTAGATCACTGATTGGGGAAGAAGACAAAAGGAAAGTACCAACCAATACTTCTAATAAGAAATTGTTTAAATAAATGTTAGTATATCCAAAATATCATGCAGGAATTTAAAAATGTAGGTAATAATAGTAACAGGTATCACTTGTTGAACACTTCCATCTAGCAGGCTCTTTAACACTTGTAAAGTCCTAGGAGGCCACTAGTATTACAAGTATCCTCATTTCGTATGTAAACTGGTTTGGAGTAGTAAAAAAACAGCAGCTTCTAAGCTAGACAGCTTGATTTTAAAGTTACATGCTCAACAACTATAGCTGTTGATATATAGCTTTGACTGATACTAATAAGCAAAGGTGAAAAAGAACGCTATAATAGTGCATGGTCATTATTTTCATTTAAAAAACATTGAAAAAAATTTCCACTGCACTAAGCTTCATTTTCTTAGGATGATTAAGAAGACATGTTTGTAATGTGTTGAGGTTCACCAAAGACGGAACTAAACGTCATCAAGGAAATTGACTCACCGAAGAACAAACAATTATTTTCTGTTCATTCATAATTAGATTGTAACAGCAAAAAAATTTAAACACTGGGCTTCTTAGCTGGTGAGAATATGTGCAACAAAAGGGGAGAAATTAAGGAAAATAAAAAGGAGGCAAACATGTTTATGTAGACACCAGGAAAGAAGCCAGAACAAGGACAAGAAAATTAAAATATGAAAGTGAAGAGAATAACTGAGGAAGGTGGGTCCTAAAGGGTAGGAGACAGAGGCAGGAATGAAGTTAGCCTTGATCAGCAGGGACCAACTATTTCTCTGTGATTAGTTGAATTTGAAGGTCTGGAGTCCTGGCGATAAGGTAGCTCTTATCAGCTGCTGAATGAAACATTGGGGTTAGTGTGGAACATGGGTTAACAAGAGTTCTCAAGCTTTGGCAATTAGCGGGCAATCAATAAATGTTTGTTTCCTTTTCCTCTTAATGTTTATCTACATTTCATTACATTAAATACTAGTTGGAGCATCAAGCTGGACTCATTCCCAAGTTGTGTTGTCTTCATTACCTAGAGAAATGCTAATGGAGGTAGAAGTTCTTTTCAAAAGAAGTTTTGACAACTCGTAAGGAGTTTCAGTTCTTGAAGGCAATTTTAATAACAAAAGGTGCTATTGAGAATTTCTGAAAAATCACTACAAATAACAGTAATATGCTTGTTTTGCATTCTCACAAGTGCAACACTTACATTTAAGAAAATTAAAAAACTACATAACTTTTGAAGACTAGAAAAGGACTTTCTTCTCTGATAATTCCTTTTACTGCTTCTTACCTCATCTAATGGTTTATCTTCCAAAGCGGTCAAATCTAGTAGTGGGTTTTTCACTCCTAATGAAACCATTGTTTTTAACCCTAGAAAACAACAACATGAAAAGGTGATCTAAGTCCTATCTTTCTCAGAAATAATGTTTAAAAAATTTCATTAGTAGCTCCAGTGACTGTAGAGTACACAGTAAGAGTGTGAGGGATAGTGAATTACCTTTTTCATCTATTTTGGCACATTCGGCAAAGAGGTCCTTTGACCCTGTATTCAGCCGGTCCCTGTGAAAATAATGGGACTGGAAAAAACGTGTCCAGAATTCCTTTTCTGTCATATTGTGGGGAACATTTTCTGCATATTTCATTTTTACTGTGGGGAAAAAACAAACAAACAAACAAAAAAACAACAAAAAATAACCACATACTTAATTTCCATTTCATAAAATCTCTCCAATTTGACAACTGAAATACAGACTAGTACCAAAACTGTATTACATATCTGCTTAAACTTTATATACCAAATACTGTAATCTAACTATAAACTAATAAGAAATATAACTTGAGAGATTTGGTGAAGCATTGCCTGTATAAATATTTTAAAAATCATAAATAAAACTTTAAGTTGTATCAAGATAGTTAACACGTTTAGCACCATTTTTGTGAACACATCAAAAGCTCTGGAGTCAGATAAACGTGAATGTGCTTGTTTGCTCATTAACATATGTGCTCTCTCCCTGACTGTGTTACGGGCTGGAGATGTAAAGATTGCTCAGTACTCTGGAAGCTTTAAGCCTATTGAGCACAGTTAAAAGGTATAGTGTGAGTCAGAGTCTGAGTTTAAAATTGTAACTTAGTCACTTACTATCTGTGTGACATTGGCAAATTACTCTCTCTGCATCTTGATTTCCTCATTTGTAAAACTGGGGTAACAATAGTACCTATTTCACAGAACTGGTATGATTAAATGACTTAGTAACACATAAAGCCCTGGTGTGGCACTGTGGGTTAATGCACTGGACTATAAGTCTGGTTAGAACCGTAAGGTTGGTGGTGCAATCTCACGAGCTGTTCCTTGGAAACCCTATACAGGATCGCTATGAGTCAGAACCAACTTAACAGTACTTAATAACAAAGCCCTTAAGGACAGTGTCTGGTAGACAATAAACACGATCATGCTGTTGTTGTGTGCCAAGTTGATTCTATCTCAAAGCAACACTGTATGACAGAGTAGAACTGCCCTATAAGGATTCTGAAGCTGTAATCTTTATGAGAGATCACTGGGTCTTTTCTCCTGTGAAGCTGCTAGGTGGGTTCGAACTGTCAACTTTTTGGATGGCAGCAGGTATTTAACCACTGAACAACCTATATAATCATTGGTTATCATCAGAGAGATAGGGAAATAAGTCCAATACATTAACTGTGGAGACAAACACAAGGCATTGTTTTAGGAAGTCAGGATTTTATAGAGGTGGCAATGCTTGAGTCGAGTTCTGAGAGACAGAGGTTTCCTAAGGGTTAAAGACACAGGACTAAGGAGTGGGAAGAGGAAACAGCATATAGCTTGAGAGTACATTATAGGGTCAGAAAACGAATACAAGGGTGGCTATACAACATAAATCAGTAGGGATGGGATCAAAGAACTATACTATTAGGATAGCTTTTACATGGGGAATGATTTATGGGTTAAATAGGTGACTCTTGACGTAGTATGAAGGATAATGTGTACATCAATGCTATATAATTTTGATGGATGTCTCTGGAGACATCATTTCTCTCAGGTGTGCTGAGGGCAAAAGTTTAAGAACCACCACACCAATGAATTGATGATAGGACATCACTTATCTTGTATCAACAATATATGCAGCACTGGTTAAAGTACTTTATATATATTATTGCACTTAATCAGGAATAAAGTTGAAGCTTTTAATTTTTTTCCCTAACAAACTATAGAACTCACTAAAATAAACATTTTAATGATCTGGAAAAACTGATTCTACTTACCTGCTGGATAGGTTCTAAATATGGACTCAATGATATCAGAGGTTAAATTATATCTCAGACCATTACAGCCATCTGTCTGAGGTCGGACATCAGCCTAAAATAAAGACCACATACGAATTAGAACACTAGGAGAAAATGTCTAAGTTCCCAAATAGACACTGGTGAAATATACACTGTCTGAACTAAATGCAGGGACAGAGTAAGTCTCTTACTTTCATTCTGACATCAAGGTAAGGCTCCAGAAGGCTTGGCCTGGCTTCACAGTTAAATATAGCTTGAAGCAGTTAGTTATCAAAACCACTATCAACTGGATAATTAAACTGACATTTTTTTAACCAGCTGATTTGCTGTTATTGTTATTAGGTGCCACACAGTCGATACCAACTCATAGCAAACCTATGAACAACAGAACGAAACACTGTCTGGTCCTGGGCCAACTTAACAGCTTTCTCTCTGACCCTCCACCTTACCAAACATGATCTCCTTCTCCAGCAATGGGTCTTTTCTGACAATATATCCAAAGTATGAGAGACAAAGTTTGGCTATCCTAGCCTCCAAAGAGCTACTCTGGATGCACTTCTTCCAAAAACAGATCTCTTGGTTCTTTTGGCAGCCCATCAATATTCTCTGATCAACACCATAACTCAAATGCATCAATTCTTCTGTGTTCTTCCTTATTCACTGTACAGCTTTCACATGCATATGAGGTTGCTGAAAATACCATGGCTTGGGTGAGGTGCACCTTAGTCCTTAAGCTGACATCTTTGCTCTTCAACACTTTAAAAAGGTCTTGTGCAGCAGATTTGCCTAGTGCAATTCGTCATTTGATTTCTTGACTGCTGCTTTCCATGAGTGTTGACAATTGACTCAAGCAGAATGAAGTCTTTGACTATTTCAATCTTTTTCCCATTGATAAGAATGTTGTTTATTATTCCAGTGGTGAGGATTTTTGTTTTCTTGACATTGAGATGCAACTCCTACCAAAGGCTGTGCTCTTTGATCTTCATCAGTATTTTAAGTCCTCTTCACTTTCAGCAGACAAGGTTGTATCATCTGTATATTGCAGGTTGTTAATAAGTCTTCCTCCAACCCTGATGCCGCATTTTTCTTCATATAATCCAGATTCTCAGATTATTTGCTCAGCATACAGGTTGAATAAGTATGGTGAAAGAATACAACCCTGTCGCGCACACCTTTCTTAATTTTAAACCATTCAATGTTTCCATGTCTGTTCGAGTAATTGCCTCTTGGTCCAAGCATAGATTCCTCAGGAGCACAATTAAGTGTTCTGGAATACTCATACTTCACAATGTTGTCCATAGCTTGTCATGATCCACACAATCGAAAGCCTTTGCATCGTCAATAAAGCACAGGTAAACATCTTGCTGGTATTCTCTGCTTTTAGCAAAGACCCACTGGACATCAGCAATGATATCCCTCATTCCATGTCCTCTTCTGAATGCGGCTTGAACCTCTGGAAGTTCTTTGTCAATGTATGCTTGCAACCGTTTCTCTATTACCTTTAGTAAAAAACTTTACCCACATGGAATATCAAAGATACTGTCCGATGATTTCCACATTCCGTTGGGTCACCTCTCTTTGGAATGGGCACAAATACAGATCTCTTCTAATCAGTTGGCCAAATAGTTGTCTTGCAAATTTCTTGGCATAGATAAGTGAGTGCCTCCAGTGCTGCCTTACTTTTTTGAAAGATTTCAATTTGTATTCCATCAATTCCTGGTGCCTTGTTCTTTGCCAATTCCTTCAATGTACCTTGGACTTCTTCCTTCAATATCATTGGCTCTTGATCATATGCTACCTCTTGAAATGAATGAACATCAACCATTTCCTTTTGGTGCAGCGACTCTGTGTAGTCCATCTTTTTTTTTTTTTAATTTTGAATTGAGTGATAGTTTACATGGGAGAATATCAGCTTTATATTCATCTTATCGTATTTCGTTTCATTGTAATGATTACAATCCCCTCCATGCATCATCATTCAACAGCATTTGCTTCCATTCCATTTTTTTTGGCTGTACACTGAAGAACTCAGGAATATATAACCATTCACACAATCAAAGGGTATACCCCGCAAGCCTGCCCTCTGGTTGGCAGCACATAAACCCTTTCCCTCTCTGAGTCCAGGGTCCCCAGCTGCTCCATCTGTCCATGTCATTGTCTCTGCCTCCATCTCTGGCATTAATGCTATTCTGAATAGGGTCCTGCACTCCGCTCTTCTCCCTTGATGGTCTCAGGGTCCTCCGCTCCTGGACTACAAGACCGACCACTCCCCACCTTTTGTTATAAAATGTCTACCTTTATATTTGCAGCATTCAGTCATCATTCCTGATAGCAATTATTCACTATTGAACCGCAACAATCTTATCCCCATCTCCTTTCACCAGCCCCATCCAGACAGGTTGGAAACCACTCAGTGGAGATTCTACCTTCCCCCACATCCTCTGGAAGTAGGCTCCCTCTTGAAACTTGGAAGCCAGTCACTTTGTGCCTTTGTAGCCCCTCCATTTTGAGTAGCCAATGTCTAAGTTGCCCATCCCTGTCAACCCTGTGTACTGAGGGGGTGGGAATGATCCTATCCTCACTGTAAAGATTCATTCTCTCTTTTGAGTTACTAATATCCATAAGTATAGGTCAAGTTCATCAAATTATAGTGGGTTACTCTTTTTTAACAATCTTCTTTCTTCTTCTAGTCAAGTTCTGATCATCCAGGTCAAGTGGGTACTATCTGCAAGCAAAGGTGTTCTTGTGCATTACCCCTCACTTAATATTAGCTGGATGCTTCACTCTCCGCTCTAGTACTCTGGGGCCATGACCCTGTTCCTGGGCCCAGGAGTCCCCAGGTCTTACCATACTGCTGGCCAAACAGGTCCTCAACCCAGGTTGACTTAGCTAACAACTTCATCACCGTTTTCCCCCAACTTTCCCTTATCAGTGGACCAATTGGTCACCTTCCATCTTCTTTTGATGCTTTCTGCATCATCCAATAGTTTGCCCAGAGAATCCTTCAATAACTAACGTCGAGGCTTGAATTTTTTCTTCAATTCCCCAGGCTTGAGAAATGCTGAGCTAAGCGCGTTCTTTCCTTTTGGTTTTCTGACTTCACATCTTTGCACATTTCATTGTAATATTTGACTCTATCTTCTCAAGCTGACCTTTCTGTTCAGCTCTTGTACCTCCTCATTTCTTCCATTATTTAGCATCTCTAAGCTGGAGAGTAAATTTTAGTGTCTCTTCTGACATCCATTTTGAACTTTTCCTATTTTGTTGTCTTTTTAATGACTTTTGCTTTCTTCCTGTAAGATCTCTTTTATGTAATCTTTACAACTCTTCTGGTCTTTAGTCTTTAGTGTTTAATGTATCAAATCTGTTCTTCAGATGATCTCTAAATTCAGTTGGGATATATTCAAGGTCGTATTTTGGCTCTCGTGGACTTGTTTTCATTTTCTTCAACTTCAGTCTGAATTTGCATATGAGCAATTGATGGTCTGTTTTATCACCATGGCCATATTTTCCAACTACTGATCCTTCCTCTTTGTTTCCAACCTTTGTATTCCAATCACCAGTAATGATCAATACTTTTTAATTGCATGTTTGATCAATTTCAGATTGAAGAAGTTGGTAAAATTCTTCTATTTCATCTTCATTGGCTTTAGTTGTTGGTGCATAAATATGAATACTAGTGGTATTATTAACTGGTCTTCCCTGAAGGTACATGGATATTATCCTATCAGCGTTGTACCTCATGACTGATTTTGGTATGTTTTTTTCTGACAATGAATGACACCATTCCTCTTCAATTTGTCATTCCCGGCATAGTAAACAATGTGGCTGTCAGATTCAGCATGCCCAATACCAGTCCATTTCAGCTCACTAATGCCTAAGGTATTTATGTTTGTGTTATCATTTTTGACAAGTTCTGATTTTCCTAGATTCATACTTCACATATTCCATGTTTCAATTATTAATGGATATTTACAGCTGTTTGTCTTCATTCCTTTTGAGTTGTGCCCCATCAGCAAATGAAGGTCCCAAGGGCTTTACTCCATTAGCATCATCATGGTCAACTCTACTTTGAGGAAGCAGCTCTTCCCCAGTCGCATTTAGAATGCCTTGCAACATGAGTGGCTCGTTTTCCAGCACTATATCTGACAGTGTTCCTCTGCTATTCATAAGATTTTCAGAGACTAAATATTCGAAGTAGTTTGTCTCTCCTTCTTCCTAGTCTGTCTTAGTTTGGAAGCTCATGTGAAACCTGTCTTGATTTCTTTAAGAGAGGCCTTATTAATTAACTTCACTACTAAGTACCTAGAAAGATCCCAAATAGACACCTAGCTCTCACATTCTGCTGAATGAGTAAATGCTGCTCTGGATCTACTGGAGTGTGACGAACTGAATCCCATTTTCTAATTCCACAGTAAGGTGTTTCTAATTTTTCTTCCAGATACATTTTATAAAGCTTACATTATATTTATATATAATGATGCCCAATATATATTTTAAGGAGTCCTGTTGTGGCATTGCAGGATAATGCACTTGACCGCAAGGTCAGTGGTTGAAACTCACCAGCCACTCCTTGGAAACCCTTGAAAGGGTCAGTAGGAGTCAGAACCGACTCTACAGTACTGAAGAACAACATGGATTTAAAAACATACTGTACGTATGTATACATTCATTTTTTTTTTTAATTTTAGAAGAATACAATGGATATGAAATTTTCAGTTAATTTAACTGAAAGAATTGTTAAAACTCTACAACAGAATTGACATTATTAACATATACATATCAGAGTTTCAACTTCACCCACTTCACTTTGAGAAATATAGAAGGGTCACATACCAGAAAAGCTGCAGAAATGCCAACATCCTGTTTATGATTGGATGCGGTAGAACTATCTGCTGCATTCACATTTAAACGATTGGCCCAGAACTCCTCAGCACTGATCACTTGACTCACAACAAGGTCTTTATAAAGCTGAAACAAAACAGGATCTTCTTGCAGCATTCTGGTGATAGAATATAATGAATATAATTGAACTTCCAGAATAAAGCAACATTCAAATAACTTTAACTATATGGAACATTTACTAAACACACTTCCATTTTGTTATGATTGAACAGCAAGTCAATTTAGTTCATTCTTCAGTAATTAAAGCAGAAAATATTTTTGGAGGAACAAATGAAGAGAAGTCTAAAGAAGCAAAGACTAAACTTCTTAAGGGTAGGAATTTGGTCTTATTAATCTCTATATCCCAGTGATACAAAGATCACTGTGCCTGTGTTTCTACTGCACTGTATTCTCTTTTACATATAGGGTGGATGGGGATAAGAGGAGATATGCTTGAAATTCCCAATTTGTCCTGATGATAACAAGCACTTGGAGACATAAGCACTGATGGCTGAAAAAATAATAGAGAAATTCTCTATTATTATGAGAAATTCTCACTACTTTAGATATTATCTCACTTTTCCAAGTATGAGTTCTTTGAAATTTCTTGTTCACAAACACTTGTTCCCTGAAACATCACAAATAGTTTATTCTAATGGCTTAGTATCGTCTCTTTGACAGAGATTGGCAAAAAGAAATAAAAGGACTTTAAAACTCTAATCATAGGTTCTAATCTGAATTCTGCTAATCAGATGTTAGTCTTCAGGCAGGTAAGTTAACCTGAGTGGGTGCATTTTCATATATACAATGTAAAATGAAAATATCACCATGTTACCCTTACATAATAAAAGAAAAGGTATATAAAAATGCCTTGAAAAGTTATTTTACAAACAGAAAGATGGAAACAACTGTTTAATCTCTAGGAGCCAAACATTTTATATATATATACTATCACATACTATTCTAACTTAATTTTAAAAACAATCTGTGAGGTTGTTATCTTTTACCTTATTATACATTATGAAGAACCTGAGGCTCAGAGTGATTATATATAGTTTGGCCAAAGCCACACAACTAGCAAGATGCTAAAGTTGAGAATCAAAATGACACCAAAGTCACTCTACTGTAGCACAAAGGGTGTGAATTAACGAGGTATTTATTGGAGACCTAGTACCACTCTAAAAGACAACTCTTTCTCTCCCCTTCACCTGTTTTTCTCTTCTAGTTCTTTATTTGCTTTCCTCTTGAATTTGGGTAGCAACTGCTGAAGGAGGTCCTTTACGGTATCTCGCTCTTTCACTGCTGTGCTTTCATTGGAAAAATGGAAGTTAGTTGTGTCCCCTGCATGCAGGACCAGCTGAAGCTGAATTTTAGCTTTTCCTTCTGGACTGATTTTCTGGCCTAAAAAGAAGCACACCACTAATTAGACCAGATACATCATGGAAATGATCATCCAGTAGCTTATCTAGCCTCTCAAGATGATTCAGGATTCTTTTGTGCTTTAGCTATCCTGTTCCATCTTGATGCATTGCACAAATAAATGGGTTAAAATCCCATATAACCAGAGTACGGCTAAACAAAATTCACTACAAAGGTCCTGCTTCCCTCTTCAATATCCTTTTTCTGTAGTTCTTCCCATACACTGTTTCTCCCTCCAGATACAAATGGGTTTTTGCGTCCATTCAAATGGGAACAGACCTCTCTAAAACTTTCTAAATGACAACTAGGAACCTTGAATATAGCCCAGACAGAGTGCTTCCAACCAATATCATCACTGCAAATAAAAATGATTTCTCATGATTCTAAAAATTTGCATAACGTAAGTACTAACTAATTGCAAAGGGAACTACATAATTTTTTATTTGTTAAAATCATCACTTTAACCAAGTGACCTCATTTAGCCTAAGTAAAAGTGGGACAGCGTGCTTTTTGAGGTGATGAACTAAGAGGTAAACATCATCTATGAAGTGTTTTGCTTATTACATTTAACCTGAATATAATCAAGTCTTTGGACCTGACAGTTTACAAGAAACACAGATATACAGGAAAAAATTAAGTAAAACTTTGGGGAGACAATAAGACATAAACAAAATGTGTGATATCCTATACACTTAGACTCGTAAAAGACAAAAAAGACACAACTAGGAGCCCTGGTAGCACAGGGGATTACAAGCTAGGCTGCTAACCAAAAGGTCAGCAGTTCGAGTTTACCAGTCACTCTGTGGGAAAAAAATAAGGTTTTCTGCTCCCTTAAAGATTTACAGCATTGGAAATCCTATACAGGATCATTGTTGGAACCAACTTTATGACACACAAGATTACCACCACCACATGTATTAACCTTGACTGGATCCTGGCTTCAAAACAAAGCATCCCACAAGTATAAAAGACGTAACTGGAAAACTAGGAAATTTAACAGTAGCCTGGGTATTTGTTAAAATTTCCTCAATGTGATAACGTAAGCAAAAGAAGTGTACACATACATAATACATAGAGAGCACACACAATAAAGCAAATATGGCAACATGTTAACAGCTATAGCAACTAGGTGGGACTCATTACACAGCATTCCTTGCATATCATGTAGGCATGTCAGCTTCAGGCCATCACAATAAAGTGAGTACTGCAATAAAGTGATTTTGATGACCAAAACACAAAGTTTTTGGTTTCCCATTATTGAAGCTTATGTTTACATTATACTATAGTTTGAAAGGCGCCCTAGTGGTGCTGTAGGATAAGCGCTGAACTGACAGCAGCCAAGGTTGGCAGTTTGAACCCATCAGCTATACAGGCTCGCTATGAGGCAGAATCAACTATATGGCAGTGAAGTTTGACTGGGTAGTCTATTAAGTGTGCAACAGCACTATGAAAAAGTTGGAAATATTGTCAGAATTATCACAATATGACAGAGAAATGAAATAAACACATGCTGTTGGAAAATGGTGCTGATAGAGAATTGTGTCTTGCCACAGGGTTGTCACAAACCTTCAATTTGGAAAAGAAATAAAAAAGTATCATCTGCAAAGTGCAATAAGCAAAGTACAAAATACATGCATGAGGTATGTCCATATAGATATTTATCTGTAGTACCACTAAAAATTTTTTTCTGTAGCTTTGAAGATTTTTTTCAAATAAAAATACACTCATACAATAAAGAACTTGTATTCTTCAAGCAATTTACACTGTCTGCCAGCATGTTCTACTACTTCATTCCTCTAAATCAAACTATCACACCTTTTCTTGTTGCTGTTAAGTGCTGTCCAGTCAGTTCCTACTACAAGTGACTCTGTTTCCAAGAAGTGGCTTGTAGGTTTGAACTCGCCATCTTACTGATAAGCAGTCCAATGTTTATCCTACAGCCAGTTACTGTTTTTATTCATGCTTTTATCTGAGCTTCTGTCTCTGAAAGGCCTCCTTGTGAAACTTTTAGACTAGCGAACTTCAGCCATGAAAAGAAACAATGCTGATTTTCACATTAGTAAATGGCACTTAACAACAACAACAATGCATTACTGGAGTCCTGGTATGGCGCTTGTGGGTTAATGCACCAGACTGCAAAGCCATTTGAACTGCAAGGTTGGTGGTTTAAGCTCACCAGCTGCTCCTCGGAAACTCTATACAGGGTCGCTATAGGTCGGAATTGACTCAACAGCATTTAACAACAACAGTGCATTACTAGTAACTTTCAGCAGTTTCTTTCAGAAAACGGGCATTAAACTTAAAATGACAAGTAATCTCAAACTAATCCAGATTGGGATATGTTGTTCCCTCAACAGCTGAGAAGATCTGAGAGATGGGAGAGAGGCACACTGTCCACTGCACTGTGGGCATCAAAATTACTGGGTGCTCTGCAAAGCTACCAAGCTAACTTCTTATTTAGGGAAATGAAAATATAGGCAGTTCCTAATTTACGAGACTGTAGTATAACAAATGTTGGTTCTCGTAACTATTATTAGGAATTTGTGATGCATAATCCCACAATAACAAAGTTATAAAAGGAGATAATACTACCAGGTAATGAACAAATCTTAAGAAGTCCAAATGTTCCTAATGTAGTGATGATAGTTAGACTTTGTCTCATGTACTTAGACATGCTATCAAGAGGGACCAGTCCCCTAGAGAAGGGTCAGCAAAAAAAGGCAAAGACCTTTACTTGCTATGAGTCGGAACTGACTCAAAAGCACAACCACCACAATTACCAGGATAATGAATAAAAGACCAAATGGTTTAGGTAGTAAAGAACTACGATGAATTTTAAACATTCCTCTTTGGAGGAATGTTTAAACTTCATTTAAGTACAGAAGGGTGGAGATCTTGGTCATTTTTAGAAGCAAAGTAGAAATAAGTCCTTGGGACTAGGTCGGCAGTTCAAACATAAAAAACATTTATATACTAAGCACTTGTAATTTGAGGTGTGTCTGCTTTTGGTGTGTCAAGTTTCTTGAAACTGAAACAGGATTTTATCCAGGAGAAAAACCTTATATGCAGACAATAAATCAATTCATCTTAACTGTCAGTGAAGACACCAGTTTGTCAAGGGCTTGAATACCAGTCTATTCTTGACCTCACCTATTCAAGAAAATATCTTAAGTGCAGAAATTCCTTTCAGAGGAATTTTATACTAAAGTTTCTGAATTCCAGGATTCACCAGGTATTTTTAAATCTAAGTTAGCCATATAATCAGGAGATTAATTAGGCAAGTTGCTTAAATGGTACAGTTATAGTGAAGTGTAAAATCTGGCATCTAGTGACATTTTAAATGCATTAACCATTTGAACCAGTCCACTGGAGGACTGTATCCTATACACACATGTTCAGAAAGATAAGCGTACAGACCTAGGCTGCAGCATTCTTTGCAATAACAAATTTCTAGAAAGTTCCTAGTGTTCTTTAACAGATGACTAAGTACATAATTGTAAATCCATTCAGTGGATTGTTACATAATTCATCAAAGAAAACATATGTGATCTATCTATCTATCTATCTATCTATCTATCACTATAAAAGTTCTACTAACTGAAAAGCAAAAAATAACAACGCTCCGTATAATCTATAACCCTACCTTGTAATTATTTGCTTATGGTTTTTTAAAGTAATAAAAATAAAATCATACATATATATAAATTTTTAATAAATTATTAGCAAATATGATATATACCAGGCCTTCATAAAATGTACTTACATTTAATATCTGCATACATATGGCTGATTGTAAATCTATCTTTGCCCTCAGGTGCCCAAGCAATTCTTTCTGCCATGAGGTACAGTGCTCCATCTTGCTTCTTCTGACGCACCTTCTTTACAATCAGTAAAACTTCTTCTGATGAAGTTGCCATGATGGCTACAAGGTACCAACAGAGGGGAGAAAAGGGAAGGAAACAAAACAACCCAGTTCCTTTAAATTTGGTGTCAATAAGTGACTCAAATTACACATGTAGGTCGGGATTGGCAGGGACTGGATAGTGCCTTCAACATATGGCTAGAAGGCACACATCAACTGGGGTTAGATTTGTTGACTCAAAGATAAAAACTAAACTGTAGGAAATCAACAAGAGGAGGGTCCCTTTACTCATCCAAGTAGAAGACAAAAGTAGCATGGCATTATTACTTTAAAATCAAACTTTATTTTCTCTTTATTATAGGTGTAAATTCATACAACATCTATAGCTTTCAGTACGGATTATACCTCAAAGAAAATAAAAGTTCTCACTACTGGACTCATATATAATATATATTACGATAAACTGAAAAAATATTGAAGTTGTCAAGGATTTTTACTTGGATCGACAATCAATGCCTATGGAAGCAGCAGTCAAGAAATCAAATGATGTATTGCAATGGGCAAATCTGTTGCAAAAGACTTCTTTAAAGTGTTAAAAAGCAGAGCTATCACCTTGAGGACTAAAGTGAGCCTGACCCAAGCCATGGTATTTTCAACTGCGTCATATGCATGGGAAAACAGGACAATGAATAAGGAAGACTGAGAATTGATGCCTTGGAATTATGGTGTTGGGGATAATATTAAATTTACCATGGACTTCCAGAAGAACAAACAAATCTGTCCTGAAAGAAATACAACTTTAGAAGTATGATGGCAAGAGTCACGTAGTTTGGGTATGGTGTCAGGAGTGAGAAGTTCTTGGTAAAAAGAGGTTCAGAAAAACAAGAGGAAGACCCTCAACAAGATGGATTGCCACAGTAGATGCAATAACAGACTCAAAGATAACAACGACTGGGAATATGGCACAGGGCAGTGTTTTGTTCTGCTGCACATATATGGGGTTGCTATGAGTCAAAACTAACTTGCTGATATCTAACAGCAATGAGTGATTTGATGATAGATGATTAGATTATTCTTTTATTGTCTGAATTATCTTTTTATTTTTTTAAATGCTTTATTGTGAATTATGTGATAGTTTATATGGGAGGACATCAACTTCACATTGATCCC